ATAATAATAATAATAATAATAATAATAATAATAATAATAATAATAACAATAATAATAATAATAATAATAACAATAATAATAATAATAATAATAATAATAATAATAATAATACTATAAATTATTTTTCTGGTTAAGTAAAAAGTTTCCATCGAAATGGAAATTCATTAAAAGTTAAAATTATTTTTGAAATTTTTCAATCGTTTTGAATACTAATACTCACTTTTACTTTCTCTCAATCTATCAAATTCTTATCAAAATAATCATATCAATTTAGCATGTTATCAATTTTTACTCTGTCAGTAAGTAACACAATAATATTTGTAATAAGTAAGAAAGAACGAAGGAAAAAAAACGAAAAAAATTGTAAATTTTTAATTCAATTTTAATTCTTTTACTTAAAAATAAAATTTATCAAATATTAGCTATTATTAATATTCTAATAAACATTTCTTTTCTTTTTTATTTGGTATATTTCAAACACAATAAAAACTTTAATTTATTTATAAGTAACTTTTTTTTTAAAAAAAAATTAAACATTTTTCATATCATTATTAGTATTTTTTTTTCTTTTTTTTTGCATTAATAAGATTAAATTAACAAATTTAGAAAAAATAAGTTGTTATTTTCTTTTACACATTAATTAATATTTTAATATTAATTTAAACTAGTCATTAATTAATAATAATTAATAAAGAATTAAAATTGAATTAAAAATTTACGATTTTTTTCGTTTTTTTTTTCTCTCTGCTATTTAATAATAATAATTTTTAAAATTCAAAAATTTACTATCAGTGATAAATTTTAAAATTTCAAAAATGTATATTAATAACAATTTTTGAAAAAACTTTTTTAAAAAAAAAAAAACAAAACAAAGAGAATTTTTTTCCTCTTCGTTAATAGAAAGGGAGGGAGAGAGGGAGAGAGAAAATTCATGAAAGGCTAAGATAATTGCGCCACGAATTAAATGAGATGGAAAGAAGGAAGGAATGATACTTATCGATATTTTATCATAAAAGAAAGGAGAAGTGGTCAGTTGGTCAATTGGTCAATTTGTAAATTTGGTATTAAAAAACATTTCAAAATGAATGTGTTAACTTTTTTTTTTTTACAAAGAAAATAAAAAAAGTTGTTAATTCATTTTTTTTCCTCTTTCTCTCTCTCTCTCTCTCTCCCAATTTCTTTTTTCCCTCCTTTTTCCCTTGTTATTCCATTTGATAGAATTTTTCATGCAATCTTATTTATTTTCAAAAAAAAAAAACAAATTTAAAAACTTTATCTTTTGAATTCAATATATTTTCATAATTTTAGCTTTAAATTTGCTTCAGTAATTTCCATTTTATATTTATTTTTTTGTTTGTTTCATTTCATTTTAATTAATTAATTATGTTTTAAACTTTAGTTTTTGATTTTTTGTCAATATTTTATTTGTTTAATTTCCCTCTTTTCATTTGTTTTTTGCTTCATTCTCATTTATTTACAAAAAAAAAAAAAAAAAAAAAATGGAAAAACAAACAAACAAATAAACAAATTAAGTGAAATATTTTATTTATTTTGTTGCCTGGGAAAAAATATATTTTTTTGTAAAATCAAAATAAGAACAAAAAAGGGAAAAAATTGAGAAAGTAAATAAACAATGAAAATAAAAAAAGAAAAAATAGAGAGAAGGAGAAAAAAGTAAAATAGTAAAAATTATAAAATATAAAGAGGAAATAAATATTGATGATTTGAGAGAGTTCATTTTTTTCTTTGATAAAAATTGGACAAGAATAAGGGTAAGGGCAGGGTAAAGAGTAGGGGTAAAGGGTAGGGTAAAGGGTCGGGTAACTAAAATATGGATAAAAGTAATAGAGGAACGACTACTTACTATTTTCTTTAATTTACAATTTATGATACCATTTAGTAATTATAGTTTAGTGTAGTACTGTGCTTCTTCTCATATTGCTGCTGTTTTAATTTTTCTTAATGCTCTGTTTATTGAATTCTTTTGATGATGCCGACAAAAGGATTTCTTTTTTCTTTTTTTTGTGTTCTTGAATATTTTACATAGCAAATTTTCAAATGATCTTATTTTTTTTTTCCTTTTTTTTTTGCATTTAAAAATTTTTAATTTCCAAAAATTTTTCAAATGATTTTGTTTTTTTTTTTTTTTGCATTTATGAATCACTCAAAAATATGCTTTGTATTGGTAACGAATAAATTATTTTAAAAAACATAAAATTTGAAATTAAGCAATTAATTGAGAGAAATATTACTATTTTATCATTTATTACAATTATTCATTTATGAATGAAAAAAAAAAGCAAACAAAAATACTTTTTAAATTTAAAAAAAACATTTTTTTTTTCAACTGAAATGGTTGAAATTTTTACTAGCATTATTCGAAATGAATTACTAAAATACTAAAATAGATGGGAATTCTATTAGAAATAATAATTAAAAAGAAGGAAATTTGTAAATGAAAAAATAATTGCTATAATTATTATTGTTTTCCTTTTTTTTTTAAAAAATTAATTGCTTATGAAATATTTTTTTGTACTTAATTAACAAAAAAAAAAAATTTGTTAAAATTTTTACAATTTTTTTGCATTAATTATGGCTTTAACTATTATTACCAGAGACAGAGAGAGAGAGAGAGAGAGAGAGAGGGATAAAAGACGAATTATTATCTAATTTAAATTTTATAATATGAAAATAAAATTTTAATTTTTAGATGCATTAAATGATGTGAATATTATTGGCAATTTATGATGAATAAACATTCAATTCGATTAATTCGTAATAACTTTGAATTACCAATGAAAATTATGCTTGAATTAATTTCATGGAGTAAAAATAATTCACAAATAACAAATGAAAATCTTAGTTTCATTGAAAAAATGCCAAATGAATTATTGGTGAAAATTTTTCAATACTGTAATGATGATGATTTTGCAAATTTACGTTTGCAATGTACTCGATTTGATCAGGTTAGTTAATTTTTTTTTTTTTTAATTAAACAAGAAGAAATTTTAAATTAATTAGAAAATTTTTTGAAAATATTTATATAAAATCAAAATTTATAATTATAATACTTACATATTATGTAAAAAATTTGGTATAATTAATTTTATATAAGTTTTTTTCTCTTCAAAAACTTTTTTTTTTTTTTTGAATATTCTTTTATTTTATTACAATTATAAATTATCTTTCAAATAAAAAAAAACAAAGAAAAAAAAATTTTTTTGTTTTATTTATTTTGATTTGATTTATATGAATTTTATAAATTCCATTGAATACTTTTTATTTTGATGCTTTTTTTTTTGTTTGTTGATAATTCTAAAATTATATTTGAATTTGATTATTTTAGCTGATAACAACATGCGGTATTTTATTAGCAAAATGTTATCGTCAACGTTTGGTGACATGTTTGACAATAACGTATAATACAACAAATGATACATACGTTTTGGCAACGTTTAAAAAAAATCATTCAAATAAGAAAAATTCAATTGAAGTTACACGTACGGACGTTTTACGTGGACGCTATCATAATCTTAGGTAAATTGAGAAAACTAATTTTTCTTTTTAAATTATAAAAAAAAAAACTTTCATTCATGTATCAATCATTAGATAATAATATTACTATCATCTCAATTTTTAAAAAAAAAGGAAAAAAAGTTATGTTTGATTTGTAAGTAATATTTTCACTAATTAATCTAAAATATAAATTTAATAATAGTAAAGTTAATTTCTGATTATTTAATTTAAAAAAAATTCATGGGAGAATATTTTATCATTCATGGTATTGAAGTTATAAAAAGTTATAAAATGTAATTAAATGATTCAAATTTAAAATTAAATAATTTAAAATAGACGAAAAATTCATCGAATTAATAATTTTATTTGCAAAATATATATGTATATTACAAAATAAAATGCAAACAGTATTTTATCTAATTGAAATTATTTTATGAATTAATTAATTAAATTATCAAACATTTTTAATTGATAATTTTTTTTCTTTTTTGGGAAAAAATTTCCAAAAATTTATTCAAATATTAATCTTACATTTTAATCTTTGTTTCATTTTTGCAGGTATTGCTTCCGTCGATTTCGTATTCTAGGCTTACAATTTTCCAATCTTTTTCTTTGTTCACGTACGCTACGTTATTTTTGTGATTTATTATCGTGTTGCTTGACCTTTGAACCTAAAACACTTCGTTTATGTGATTGTTATGTAGCTGATTTACAGCACGATGCATTAATGCGCTTAATGAATTTATGCTCCAAATATCTTATCGTTTTATCTTTTATAGTAAGTTTTCCCTTTTCCTTTTTTTTGATCAAAAATTTAAATATTATAAATTTTAATAAAATGAATTGAGTAAATATTGGAATAAATTAAAATAATATAGCGGAAAATTTGAATCATTTATCAATCAAATTTGTTTCACAAAAATTAAATTAATTTCATTTTTAATTCAAAACTTTAGCAGTTATTTTTAAAGTCAAAGGAGAAAATTTTGTTTTGTTTTTTTTTTGTAATTTTCAAGAAAAAAAAGGTAAACTAATTTCTAAATTAAATTTAATTAATAAAAATTATTCTTTCTTCCTTTTCTCAATTCATTTCATTACTAATTCTCGATTAATTCACATTATACAAACTTTCAAAATATTTGTGTATATGGTAGAATTTTTCTACATTTTTACAAAAATTGAAAAAAAAAAAATTTTTTTTTAAAAAAGAAATAGGATTTATAACTTAAAAAAAATTCGAAATATCCAAACGATATTGAGGTTATAGTTAAGTTTTGTTGCTAATATAAATAAATTTTAACAAATATTACTATTATCATATATGATATAGTGCTATAATCATGCTATTAAAATTAATTAAAATTTAATTTAATCTAATTTAATTAATTTTAATAAAACATTTGCAGAATTTAGCTGGCGTTCGACCAACATTATTTCAAGATGATTTATTTCAAACAATTAATCGTAAAACATTATATGTTTTAATGATTCAATCGATTGATTTTCATATTTCAATACCAATCACTGATCAACAACTTTCTCTCAGTGATACAATCTTTCGCTATTTGCCAAATTCAATGCGTAAAATTAAACTTGAAAAATGTCAAAATATTACCGCCGATGGAATTTGTGATTATATTGAAGTTTGTTACTAATAATTCTCTCTCCCTCTCTTTCTCTTCCTCTCCCTCTCTCTCCTCTCCCTCTCTCCCTCTCCCTCCTTTTGTTCCTTTTCTGGTTTTTGCTATAGTAAAATTTGTACAAAAATTTTTTATATAAAATTTTATGTTTAATTAATTATTTTACAATAAGCAAAAATATTCAAAAGAAAAAAGAAAGAAAAAATTCTTTCAATTATTTCCATTCTTTTATTTATCTAAAAATAAAAAATTGAAAATTTTTTGAAAAAAAAAAACAAAATAAAAATATTAATAAAAAAAAGAATAAATAAAAATAAATTTATATAATTAAATTTTCTTTTTTTTTTTAGCGTTGTTTTAATAGTAATGAAAATACTACGAAAATTCATCATCGTTCAACGGAAATGGTTTTCCGGCAGTGCAAACAGTTAACAACTGTAGCATTTGAGAGAGTTGCACAACTCCGGAATATCTGTATTGATGGACAGGATCCGGTTGGTGAGTATATTATGAATTGGGTGAAACGACGACAGTATCATTTACGACATACCAATCAGAAAAAAGTAATAATAATATTTTTATTTCTTAAATTTTGGCTTTTTTTTTTGTTTAAATCAACTATTAAATTATTTAAATTTTTCATATGCTTTTTAAATTTTGATATAAAATTTAAATAAATTTTCTATACTAACTTTAATAATACTTTACTGATAAGTAATGATAAAGCATACTTCTTTTTTATTTTATTGCAAAATTATTTAATTTTTTTTTTTGTTTTAAACCGATTTTTGTTTTCTTTTTATTTCTTTTTAAATTTTCATATAAATTTTAAATGAATTATTTGCACTTATTCTGATAATATTTAATTGATAAGTAATGATAAAGCTTCTTTTTCTTTTCTTATTTTATTGTAATCTAAAAATTATTTCATTTTTTTTTTTATTTTATACTAATTTTTGTTTTTTTCATTTATTTTTTGTTCAAATAAAACAAAAATAATTTGCAAATTTTAGTATAGATTAATTCTTTATTTTATCTTTTTTTTAATTTATTAAATTAACAATATGCAACAATTTATAATAATTTTTCTCATTCATAAATTTTTTTTTTAAATAATCCACATTAAATAAAAAAATAATAACACATTTAATTTTAAACTACTAATTAATTAACTGCAAAAATAAACAAAACAAAACGAATTTTTAATATTAAATGAATTTTTCATATATTTTGATATTATTTAACAATATATAACAATTTTTTTTCTTTGTTCAAATAAAACTAAAATAATTTGAAAAAATTTAGCTAATGAAAAAACTAAAATTAAACATAATATTATCAATTAGCAAGAAAACTAAAAAAAATTTTTAACAATATTTGAAGCATTTTTTTAATTCATTAAATTTAATGCACATTTTTTGAATTTATTTGATTTAGTGCAATTAATTTCTTAAATTTTATGCTTATAACTTTTTTTATTTATTAAATTTGGTGCTTAATTTTTTTTTTTAATCCATCAAATGTAATCCATAATTTTTTTAATTTATTAAATTTAATGCAATTATTTAATTTAATGCACGATTTTTTTTTTAAATTCATTAAATTTAATTTATAATTTCTGAATTTATGGTGTAATATTTTTAATTTATTAAATTTAATGCATAATTTTTCTCAAATTTATTAAAACTGATGCGATTAATCAATTAAATTTAATTTATAATTTTTAAATTTATTATGTAATATTTTTAATTTATAAAATTTAATGCATAATTCTTTTCTTCATTTTACAGTTAATTGCTATTGAAATTGACAGTCATCAAATGATCAAACGAAATGATTTGTCAACATCGATTACAATTGAGGAATTAAATCGAAATTCATTTCATTCTGTCATACCATTTCTAAGCATTTGTCACCTTCATTCATCAGCCACTGAACAACTTCTAATGCCAGCGATCAATTCAGCACGAATGAATCAAAAATGGAAATGTGAACAGGATTGTATGATAACCGGAAAAACGGAAAAGCATATTTCAAAAATAACCGATCAATCAGGAGGAATTTTTATGCAACCAATTATTAAAACAGCTAATATTATTCGTCGAATAAATTATGCAAATCATATTCCTAATCGTTTTTCATTTCCGACAATGTTTGATTAATTCTTTTTTTTTTGTATTTGATTTTATTAATTTTAAAAAAACTGAAATTTTCAATTTTTTTTGCTTCGCAATTTTAATGTTTTAATTTTTCTTTTTTCTTTTTTTGTAAATTATCATTATTTTATATTTGTAATATGTTTTATTTATCAATAATTTAAATGTCATCTGTACATTCATTTATTCTTGATCTCATCAATTATATTTGTATTTTTTTATTCAATTTTTTTTTTAAACTTATTTTTTACTCTCCTCTCTTCTGGTTATTTTATTTTTTAAGCTTACTCTCTCTCCCTCTCTCTTTTTTATCACTTTGATAAAATGATTAATAAGTTTTGAAATTTCGAATTTTAATTCAAAGATTTGTATAATTGCTTTTTTTTCACTTTCTTACTTATCAGCAAAAATAATAAAATTGCAATTAATTTTTCAAATTCATTACTTTCTATCATTTTATTATGTTTAATAAAGAATTAAATTTATTATATTTCACAATGAAGAAAAAATAAAAATAAAATTTTCTCTCTTCTAATTAAGAAACTAAAAGATCAGAAAACAAAACGAAAAACAAAAAAAAAAAAAAAAAAAAAAAAGGAAATTGAAAAAAAAAACAGTTTTACTTAAAGAATTAAACTTTCAAAAATGATAAATGATTGTAACAATTTATTGATCCAAAACAACGAGTAGAATTTAAAAAAAAAAAAAGATTAGAATAATTCCTTTGGATTTAAATATCATTTCATATAAATCTTCCATATCAATCACTGATAAATCCCGCGATGCCGCGGTGAATGCATTCACTTATATTTTTATGGTAATAAAAAAAAAGAAAAATTACTTATTTCTATAATTACATAAAATAAATATACATGTATCTAGGCATTGTTTACATTGTTTATGATAAAATGATTAAATTAAAAATTAAAATATTTTTGCGATTTAAAATTAATTCGAAATTTTGTTAAATTTAAATTTAAACTTTGTTAAATATTATTATTGATATGATTATAAACGATCATAAAGTTTCTTTTTTTACAAATTATTTAACAGTGAGAAAAATTATTCTAATAAATGTTGAAATTAAATTATTTTTTTTTAAATTCAATTGATTTAAAACACAAGAAAAAGAGGTAGTATTACTAATATTATTGACTACTAATTTGATATGATAATATACTGATAAAATTTTATTGATATTTTAAAATATTACCACCAAGTAATAATATATACGTTTGCAAGTCATCAAAAAGTTAAATTTTGAAATCATTTGCGAAGTATTTTTTCAGCTGAAAAATAAACAGAAATAAGTAAATTTTAAAAAGTTATACAAAATTTTTATATGACATTTATATTTATATCATTTTTCAAATACTTAATTAATAAATTTTAATCAAAATTAGATTTTCAAATATTATTACTGAAAATTTGAAATACTTTAATTTGTGATGCAAATAAAGTTAAAATGTTGGAATATCGTGATCGATAATTATTGTAAGAGATAATAACAATGTAACGGAATAATCATGATTATCTTCCCCCCAAAAAAAAGAATGATTATTTTGAATTCCTATAAAGTTTATGATTTCTCTTTCATTTCCTTCTTAAATTTATATTTTATTTACGATTTTTTTTTTTTTTTTTATAATTCATATGAAAATTTCAAATTATATTATTTTTTTAAATTACAATCCCTTAAAATTATCTATTATAACTGCTAATGATTTTCCATCTGAAAAAATTAAAAATTGTAACTTATAACTTCACCAACTTCGCTCTCAAAATTTGCATATATTAATAGAAATTATGGTGAATACTTGCTTAATAGTTCACTTTGACTCCGGAAAACCGGAATTAATTTTATCACTTTATCAGTATAATTGTGTCAAACCATGATTTTTCATGACATATTTGTAACAACAAACTTTATTTCCATGCTAACAATTTTATAGCATCAAATCATTAATGAAAAAAAAAAAAGAAAAAAACAAATCATGAATATTTATTCATTATAATGAAAAACTATCATGATTTTTTTTTTCATAACATACACAGCGGTCGAAATAATTGTTTACATTTCGACGAGTAAAACTTTTTCTAAAATTCTAAATATCCTTTTTAAATGATTAATTATAATTATTACTTATCATGATTATTACTACTAGTACTGTTATTATTATTATCATTATAACTTTAATTATAATTACCCTCTTATCCTGCCCTCTCTCTTTCCCTCCCACCCTCTTTCCTTCCCTCGTCCTATTATTATTGACATTATTACTTTTATACTATTATCATCATTATCATTATTATTATCTTTATCACTATAAATCCATTATTATTATCACCTTTCCTATTATCATTATTGTCGTTATCACCATTGTTATTACTACATAATATTGTTATCATTATTATTACTGTCGGATTATTGTTAACATTATTATTACTATTATTATCAATATAATTAACATTAGTATTATCACTACTGCTATCATCATTATTTTTACTATTATTACTGCACTATTATTATTATTATTATTATCATTATCATTATTGTTTTCATTATTGTTGCTACAAGCAAAATTATTAAACAAAACAAACTGTAAATAAAATTAGGGATAAAATAAATAAATAAACAAAGTCATGCAGAAGAAATAAATTAAAAAAATAAATAAAAATCAAGGAGAAAATAAAAGAGATAAAATTGCAGAAAAAAAAATTAAGAGGAAAAAGAAATTATGCATTAAACTACAATTACTGAGGCAAAAAATAAATAAAAGAGGTATTTTACAAGGTAAGAAATGAAATTTTTAATTATCATAAAAACAAAAATAAATAAATAAATTCACATGAAATTAGGATGAACATAATAATAAAACAGAAAAAACTTAAACGATGTAATTTAAATGAAATACAAGGGATATATACTTAAAACTATATTTGATTTTGCATAATAGTAGAAAAAAAAGTGAAAGTAAATTTTACAAGTTAAGATTTAGATTTAATTAAACAACAAAATGATTTCAGTTATTTCAAATGAGTATATTAATCAAATTAGCTAGTATATTTATCAGCAATCTTTTTTTGTTTCTTTAAAATTCAAATTACTGACAAATTAGGAATATTAAATTAATTTTATTTTAAAATTTATATTTTAGAATTTTGTTTTTTTAAATGTATATGCATGTATGATTGTATCTTTTTATTTATTTGTTTGTTTGTATAGTAAAAATTAAAATGTTGTATTAAAAAATTAGTCAAATGTTTTATAATAAATTTTTATTTTCAAAAGATATTTACAGCAATCCTGGAAGATATTTTTCTGCAATTAAAATTTCTCCAAGACAAAATGAATAACCAGAAAAAAGACTGTAATAACCAATCGATTCATTATTAACATCTTGTTGAATATCATTCTGAAATATAATTTTTTCATATAATTTCCTAGAAAAGTTTAAAACTTTTTATTTATTTCAATAAAATTGTTAAATGAGTAATGATTAAATTAAAAAAAAATCATTTGCAATAGATTAATCAATATTAATTATTCAATTAATAACCAGTATAAATTACATTTCTATATTTTCAACTCATGAAACTATAATTTTATTGGATCTTTTTTTTTTTCTTTGGAATTTGTAATTTTTTATTTAAAAAAAAATAAACAGAAAAAAGTGGAAGAGAAATTGAGTGATAAAAATAATAGTAATAGCTAAATGGATGTAAATAATATGAAAAATTAAACATTTATATGAAAATTAAAACTTTCAATAGTACTTTTTATATGAAAATGAAAGTTAAATTTTTAACAGTACTTTTTATATGAAACTGAAATTAAAATTTTAAATAGTACTTTTTGTGTTAACAAATGATTATCATCTGTAAATGAAAGTGGTCCATATGGTGGTGTTTCAGGTGGTGATGGTAATATCATCGATAAATCAGCTGGATTAACTGCAAAGAAAGATTAAAAAACAAAAAATGAAAAATTCTTTTTCCTTTTAAAGTTTTGAAAAGTTTTAGTAAAAGTAAATAAAAAAAAAAGCATAAAATATTAAATTCTTTTGTTCTTCTTGAAAAAAAAAAAAAAAAACTGAGAACAAACTAAAGAAATCCGTATCGGTATGATAATAACTCTTGGATTCAAATGTATCATCACTACTGAGAGAACAATGAAGCTGAAATTTACTTAAACTTATTACTCTAAAAATTTTTTAAACTAATCATCTTATCATTATTTATTTTGATTAAATTAATTATATTTACCAGTAGAATGAAAGAAAAGAAAAATTATTTTTTTTATTAAGTTTTCTAGGAAATATATTACAAAATAATGCAAAATGTAATAGTACAAATATTCATATACAATAAGTATTATTGCAGTTTCTTTTCTTTTTAAATTTTCATTAAAATATAATTTAACATATATTTTGAATTATATTGTAAAAATTTTCATAATTTTACAAAATGTTTTTTCTTTTCTCTTCTTTTTTTCTTGCTATTATTAACATTTTTTAAATTTTAATTGTTAATTCAAAAAATTTGATAGCCTACCGAATTTTGTAACTCCTCAAATGGTAGAGAAATGGTTGAAGTATTTGTTGAAATATCCACTGAATTAAGTTGTGGACGAGTTTGTAAAGTATTAAATTTTTGTATTTGTTGTAAATCAGTAAATGGTTCACGTAATGTTCGTATGCCATTTTCATCGATATCGTCAGCTTTAGGAAACTGAAAAACAAACAAACAAACAAATAAAATAAATATTTCTGCTGAAAAAGAGAAATTTCACAAAATCTTTGTTATTTTATAAATCATAAATGTTGTAGGAAATAATATTTTATCAAACTCAGAATTTATAAATTAAACAAATTATAATGATAAATCAATCAGCAATTTAGTATTAAAAATAAATTTCAAAAAATTATTTTTTCAATTGTAAATTTATGTTTTCATTATAAATTGCTTTTTTTCCATGGTATCATTTCATAATTTTTCAGTTTTTT